TGTGTAAGACTTGTTCAGAAGTGCCACTGCCGGGCCAGCATCTAAGAGCGCGGGTGGATCCGCACAGCGATTACTAAGACGGAATAACATTAAGACAGCTTTTGTTTTTGTGTCCGTTAGGACGACCTTTAGCGCTATGTGTGCTAAAGGTGCTGTCAGGCCTCGATTTGGGGAATTAGCTATAGGGAGCAAGCCTTGAAACCTTGAAACAAGAAAGGAGGCAGAGCTGTGAGATCCAGGGTTTATTCAAGCAAGTGTCCTTGCATGACATTCAATATACATCAGTTCATACATAATAATGACATACAATAATAGAAATAGTAATCAATGATATCCTAATACAGTTTATATCTAAGTCCGGTAATATAAGCAATGTGTGGTACAACAGGGTATGTACGGTAACTGCTTACAGAAACATAATACAAATAATACAACATTTTCTTGAGTAACTACGGTACTGATAAATAACATAACCTGACGGATAAATTAATCATCAACAACAATTGCAAAGAACAAGTACTGAGTGGAGCGCCCAACAGTTTAATTACAGCATGTAGTGCCTAGTTCATTAACTGTTGTGCGGATTTATGACTATTACGTTATGTCGCGCCTAATGCGTTAACTACGGTACCGATTTATGACAATTACGGTATGTCGCGCTTAATGCATTAACTACGGTAACGATTTATGACTTGTGTAAGTAATTTCCGTTATCAACATACATGCCTTGAGCAAATACGGTAAACGGCGCGAAGTGCTCAGATTTGACATATACCATTTAACTCCGGTATTGACTGTACGCATTCTAACTGTACATTTATTATCTCAATACAATAATTTCGGTAGATACGGTAAGTGGAACTAGAGAGTGATATAAATATGTGTAACTACGGGGACAGACGATATAGTTGTAGCTAGAGTACTACTACTTTGTCCCATCCAGAATTATTTGGGTGACTACGGTAAATGTATTTTGACGGTGATGTTGCTATTGGCAACGTGTAATTTCGACATATACGGAGTTAAGCCATGACCTAGAATATATGTAATGCTGTAGAGCTACATTTTTGTACTTTACAAAACAAGACAGTAACTTAGTTAAATAAATATGTAATAATGTACTAGGACGGCGCTGTTGTCATTGGCTACGCGTATTTCTTAAATTACGGAGCTAAACAAATACGGAACGAAGACTGTAATTGCAAACTACACGGATTTGAATGTATATTTTCTGGTAATATGAAGAGTAGACAATACCATTTTCTACTGATTACGGTAATGTGATTCGCGTATAAACTGTTTTGTACGGTATACAACTGCACGCGGAACGGAACGTTAATACATCACTATTCAAATTCTTATAGTTTTGGTGAAATATCAAAACACAAATGTTGGCTGTTATACCTATCATGTGGGCGCGTATCTGAGGTAAATCTACACGAATATCATTTGATCGGCGGACTATAGTAAAATACATAAAACTTCGTCTTTGCTGGAAATGATTGTATAAACTCTCGGAACTGTTTTTGTGACTAAGCTACTAGAATCTAGGCTACTGAACGGGAATCTAACCTGCATATACAGATCTAACACGCAAATGAATAAAACAAGACAAAGACTGGGAATACACACATGTGTGTCGAAACATAGAAAAGAAATATTCGTTTGTACATGAAAAAACATAAACTTGAGGAGCCCACGACGCAATGTGCATAAATAAATATCCCTGGATAGTGCCTAATAATTAATCGGTTATCTCGAAATAGCATTTGCAATGAAAAAGTGCTTCAATGTTGTAGGAATGTTTCTAACCTAACTCTAACATTTTCTAGACGATAATTAACAAAGAAATAACAAGTGAAACATAAACAATAATAAAGTTTAAATGTTTCTTACCTTGAAACAAGAAAGGAGGCAGAGCTGTGAGATCCAGGGTTTATTCAAGCAAGTGTGCCTGAGATGGAAGAACCCAGGATTTTATACCCCACAGCTCTACTCGTTTGTCATTATCAAGTTTCTATAAAGTTGAAGTTTCCATATGCGTTATCTACCCTATGCTGACAAGGTTTACTACACGAGGTAGGTGGTAAGAAGATGATTACCTAACAAGGTTTGATTTTCTTTGTGGTGTAGCCACGGTCAGCTTGCGCCAGCTGCTTAACAAAATATCTGTCAGCGCTTGACCATGGCATTTACGACAGGACAAAGAGGATGGCATGATGGTAATCTCGATCTTGTTCAACAAAAGTTGATTTTCGATTACGACTTAGTTGGTGGTAGACATGCTCCTGCTGGGATGGTACTACTTATCTGTGCTTGACCAAGGGATGGCCGGAGCCGACACAGCTCGCTAGCTTCATCTTTGATTAATTAGTTTAAGGTTGGCGTGGACGCGTTTGCTAATTGCCTACTACTGCGCTTTCCATGCGGGGCTATAAACAAGATACACTATGCACTGCGACCATCACGTATACGGATTTTCTTTGTTATGAATAATTTGTGAAAAATATAAAAATGTATGAAGCAATATATGCACTGTAATAACATCTACGCTGCCTTTCGCTAAATTCTAGGGAAAGCTAATGTGTGCTTCTAAAATGGAATGGATTTTCCGATTCTGCAGTTCGAAATTATGTACTAAACTAGTACAAGTGTGCTCTATTACGTGTAAAATTAGACATTTATAGACAACTTGATTTCCACATTAAGTATGAAGTAAAGCGGGACAATTATTTCAGATTTACATACATGGTCACGTGGCTCCCTATTTGCTACAGCTATGTTCATTTGGAATTGTATCATTGGTTGAAAGTTATTGTGATTATTCCAAGTGTATACATGGAGAGAAATTTCACCTGAGGGAAAATTCAGCCTGATTATATGGTTGGGGACGTTTGTGCCTCCAACCAATGAATAAAATACTCACAGTTCATTTTTTCCTGATGGATCGAAAGATGGTCGCAAAGTGTTTCTGTCGTTGGATAACTGAAGTACCTGCAATAGTTTTCACTGCTCGGGCCAATGCTATCATTACAGTTTGGGTGTACATGCAACAGTCTGCGTGTTGAGCAACAGTTTATCATGTTTTCAGATTCTCAGCTACTGAATAATTTATCTTGTCTTCATCCAAAGTATTTTGGATATTTTGGAACTATAGTGAGATCGCGTATGTAATGTCGGTTGTCTATTTTTTAAACAGCTGATCAGCCTGACATGTCAACATGTTTAATGTGTCAAGATCACCAAAGAAAAAGGAACTATATTGAAAATAAGGTTTAAGTGGCAATTGCAAGTGTCTTTAACTAAGGTCAGTGGATCTTTAATTTCAAACACATGTATCTTATGTTAGCACTCTGTTTTTGAATGGTGTGAAAGATTACATTAAAAAACCTGAAGAATAGAAACATTGATGGCAAATTGGAAGGTAAAGATAGTTTTCTTTAACTATTCAATGCCTTGATAGTATTTACCGGTAATACACAGATCGGTATTTACTTTAGTGATCTCATAAGTGTCCGTGTCAGTGCTACGTTCTTAACTATGTACTACAAAACATAAACTCCACCCAAAACAAATTCAAGTTCTAAATTGAATCATGCAATGGAAGTAGTGTGTGCATTATTACAAAAGTAGGTGTGTATCATACTGCTAAATATCCAGGTAAGATACAGGAAACGCTGATTATGGCATCATGTTAATAGAAAAGTAATCATTTTATTAGAAAAGTAATACATAACGTTCCATGTTCTCCCAACGTGAAGTGAAAAACGAGGGTGACTTCCTTGGGTGGCCGTGACGGCCACACGTCTCCTCGTGCACACTCTAATCAAAAGACACCGCCATTTGTCTACGGGGGCTTGCTCCAGTTCATGCGTGGTCCTGGGGTGGATTCATATACTATCCCACTCGTCATCGTCTTCCCAAAACTCGGGTTCAAGTCAGGGAAACAGGACGGCCAGTCCATAACCCAACCAGCGTTTCCTAGGGAGTCGTGCATAAGAGCTGTTTTTAGGGGCGTAGCGTTGTCAAGTTCAAATGTCAGTACATGACAAAGTAGCTGCATGGATATCAGGCGGACTGGGATCAAAACTTGGGCTCCATACTCTATTGCAGCAAGGGTCCCTTGTACAACTGTCAATTGAGAAAGACCCTTGGCACATAACGCTCCCCAAACAATTTGGCTGCTCTCTCCAAATCGGTCAACTTCACAAACACAACACCCAAACCGTCTGGCGTCACACTCGTACCCTGCCATTGGCAGAGTGCAATGTGAAGCGTGAATCCTCACTTACGAAAATCCTGTTTAACACTGCTTTGGCTGAGCCTGGCGTGTCTCTGGGGCCATTGACAAAATTGCGTCAGAGTAGGTACTGCTTATAGTCGTCCAGCTCGGATACCTGTGGTGCAAAGTCGATTCCTGCTAGCCTGTGCTGAAACTCTAACTTTGAACAACTTTTCTTTTCTAAGATGAAAAGTTTTATACTTACCAACGATTAATCTAAGACAACAAAAAAAAGGTGTCGGTGACCCATATTAACAACAATCCTCGTTTCAGTGATTTTAGCCAACTGAAACAACTACAAACAAAGAAACGGGGTGCTACGGAGTTAATTGTACTGTAGGAGACGGTGACGTCGGTTACCAAGGGTACGTTTGTTTATGAAGGAGCTCACTAGAACGACGTAGTGACGTCAAAACAGTGTGACGAAATGCAAAAAGGGTACTTTATCGCCTTTTGATCTTTTAGCGAAGCATCTTGGCATATCCAGCATTAAGTGAGTGAGTGAGTTTAGTTTTACGCCGCATTCAGCAATATTCCAACAACCTTCAAACAACCTGCATGTCATCGACATAAATATGGCACAACAAGAAACTAAAATGAATTACCCCCTCACAATAATTACCACTAATGAGTGTGTCAAGTGTCTAATTGTGTTGAATATAGTATCTGAAATAATGAGTGTGAAATCCTTAATGTGATATGACTTTGTATTTTTCAGAGCGGGAGCCACTATTTGGTCGGATCACTGGTAGTGATAGCGTTGACACCTTGGTGAGAGTTGGCATGGAGAAGCAGCATGGACTCTGTCCAGAATCCAAGATGGTGGCTGTTCAGGGTTTCACAGCGTGTGCAGACAGAGAGCTCAGCCTCGACCTGGGTCAAGCAGTTTATGTGTTGTACAAGGAAAATGGCTGGGCGTATGTCCTCACAGAAGATAACAGAGAGGGTTTTGTTCCCTTGTCCTATATAGCTGCTTGTGGTGGTTCCAGAGCTGGTAGAGCCATCTCTCCGCCATTGCATGATGTACCAGAGCTTCTGGAAACAAGGGAAACGGACCCTTTGTCTCTTGTAGTAGAGTCCGAGTGTCTGTCTCGAAATACCATTTTCGTTTACCGAAAGCAGTCGTATGGCCGCTACGTTGTGGTGTTCGACTTCGATACCAGCGAAGAGAATGACTTGAGCGTCGAACGTTGTGAGCTTGTCACCGTGATTAACATGGAGGATCCCGACTGGTACTGGGTCGTCAGAAGCACAGGGGAAGAGGGATTCGTGCCAAGATCCTACCTCTGTCCTTTCCCAGCCGACCTTGCCTTCAAAGAAGAAATACCAGGCACTATGTCAGCAGCATCTTCTCATTCTTGGGATTGACCGGTTGTGTATCACAATGACATGTATAAGTGAAATGTTGAATAATTACACATTAAAAACAATAAAAAAATGTATTCATATGATTTGTTTTCACATAAGTGTTGATCTACTTGTAACTGTTTAACCTCGGACATTTCATGTTTGTACATGTACTTTATTGTTCTATGTGTTACACTTAACTTCGTACATGATTGCTTATCCACCTGGAATATCTGTATTATATCCATTCAATCATTTCATGGTGAGACACTTTGCGTATCATACCATGGCGGTAGAAACAGAAGAGAAACGGATAAAAGAGGTTCCGGAAAACACACAAGTAGCGCCTAAAATGTTTCAGGGTAATAGATTCGTTAAACGGTCATTTGCCAGGTAGAATGGCATTCGGCCTAAGAAAATACGGATTCAACTAATAGTGACACTTATGGAATCTCTCTTCAAACGGTGACTTAAGGGTATTTACATCCAAGAGTGGACTATCTAAAACCTTATGTTATAAATCCTTGTTAGAGCCACAGGGGCGTGTCACGCTTGGAAAATGCGTTAGAAAGACATATAGGTATATAGACCCTACCCTAGTACTATACCTTTTATATAGTACTAGGGCAGGGTCTATATACCTATGTGTCTTTCTAACGCATTTTCTAAGCGTGACACGCCCCTGTGCCTCCGGGGTCTTCCTGATTTGCCACCTCCTATTGTTGAAATTAGGTCGTGCAGTCAGGTGTGGTAATTGGTAGAACAATAGGACTAGGTGGGGGTCATCTCAACATTTATTTTTAAACGTATATATTAAAACACATCAACCATGACTTAACATACCATGACTGAATATGCTTTCAATATAACATATTTTCACATGATGCTTTTAACTTACTTATAACATGTCAAATTATTGTTATACACAGAGCATCCTCGATAATCTCCAGGGTATACGTTACGATCACTCTCCACTATACCCTGAATGCATCCACGGTTTGGCCCAATGATTTTGTTACCTCCCTTGGCTGGCTTTTTATCCAATCAGGTGTCTACGCTGGGAAGTTGAGCAAACCAATCACAACTCACTTTCGCTTCTTAAATTATCTAACCGTTTAAACTTGGCAACACAATTAACCGTTTAAACTTGGCAACACAATTAACCGTTTAAACTTGGCAACACAATTGATGCAGAGGTACTCTGAAAGGTGTAGAAGGAGTTCTTCATATATTTTTTCAAAGCTTCAGATCTGTCAAAAAATGTCTGTATTATTTCCCCAAAAATCTGAGTGGCACTGCGAACAAACCTTCGTGACTGCGACCGCCATCTTTGTTGACACTGGCAAGCTTGGATGTAACGGCGGCTTAGCTGATTGGCTACTGTGAGAATGCGGCGCCAGCAAAGGGAGGTAATATGATTATCGGGCCAAGCCGTGGATGCATCGAGGGTGTAGTGGAGAGTGATCATAACGTATACCCTGGAGGTTATCGAGGATGTCAGTAACAAACTTATACTATAAGTCCAACCAGATACGACACGGCATCGGCATACCCAATTGGAGTTTTCTGCCAGAAATAATCAGCATATTCTTGACTCTGTTCATAAAAGACATACTACTTTCAAATAGATTCAAATTATTCTAAACACTTATGTATGCAATTACTATGAACCATTTAATGCAATTTTGTAGACTTTTCCTATTATTATGCATTTCATGACTTTGCGGAAATAATTGCTTCTGTACTTCTGTAATCATTGATAGTATTGTGTTATATTTGATGGAGCAGCACTGATATAAGCCGTTGGCTTGTTGTGCCAATCCATATTCATGTTATGTTTATATTTCATGAATAAAACATGTCTATATAAACAAAATGACAATCTCTGTGTGGCACTGTTCTTGCTTCAGGATGTCTTTGAAGTGGAATATGTTTGGGTGTGACTGTCCAACCTTCAGCGCAATCAAGAGTGTTCATTTCACCATACACCCTGAACATAGGTTAGCTCACCCCTACTGGCTTGGGTGGCATCTTTAATTAGAGTTCACGTGATGACATGCAACCTCTACTTGTAAAAAACACGATTAGTTTTAATCACTTTCCATTGAAATTGAGAGATAACTGGTATTGTTTTTACTAAGTCCTATCTTTTCCTCTACTTATATAAAGACATACTGCTTTTTATACAATGTACCCTAACATACATTAGCAATAACACTACTTCAGAATTTCTTAACCTTTTCCCTTGGAAACACGACACATTGAAAAAATAAATAAAACTAATTAATATTAAATGGTAATAGTTCTGCATCTGGTCATTGCACATGAATAGTGTCATGCAAAATTATGTATTACTTTGAGAGCTGTGGCTTGGAAACAAAGCCTTTTATTTTCTATGGAAACGACAAAATGACACTTAACAAATTTCAAAATACCATAGGGCACCACTTAAGCTGAATAGCAACGCACATCTAAAGTTGTGTTGCGTGGTTTTCTAAAAAAAAAATATATTAAAAATTGCCAAAATAACTAAAGGCACCACTTATGCTGATGAGCTAAGCATATGCCAAGTTTGGTTGGAAAACATGTAACATTTATCGATGACAGCAGGAATTGAGCCAAAAACAATGTCTCCCCTTTTTACATTATTAGCGTGGATCTAGCATGGAGGCCTAAGTCGTATAAACACTCCCTGATCTAGCACACATATAGGTATCATTGAATATGTAAATTCAGTAGAAATGTAAATGATCTACTCGCCCTGATAATGATATCACTAATTCATTCCCATACTGTCATTGTTTTTCTTCAAACAAACCAACATTTATCCTTCTGTATAAATCTAGTAAAGTATGGAAATAACAATACACACATGGTTGAATTCATATCGTATTAGATATGCGATTGTCTCACAGCTGACATACAGTTGACTGACAGACACTGAACAAGAAGGTTAATTAGGGTAACACCTATGGGTATGGTGTCGGCCCGGGAAAGCAAATTAAATCTCAATCTTCCCTATTCCCGGAAAAGCGAAACCAAAATTGTGCTAGGAGAGCCGCCTTCAAGTCCACGCTAATCCACCGTGCAAAGACAGAGACAACGCCGAGTCCAAACATCTATGGAGATGATTGTTTCAGATGACCTGCTAAAGGAAATACCATCCTTCGCATAATCAAGGCCTTTCTCTACAGACAGGGGCACAAGACCTTTCCTAGACACCCTGCCACCCGACGTGAGTTTCAGCTTGAGGGACAATGGGCCTTGACCGAAGCAGGAGAACCGTTCCTCCATCGCATCGACGACAACTTGACTACAAACAAGGACATTGAGCGCCTGTGTGAAGAGATATCTCTGTGGGGGCATCCGGCAAACGTGGGGGAAGGGGGGAGGGCTTACATACTTATTCATTCTTGCAGTTGAAATATTAGGTACGATGATAAGGACAAATCCGGACATAAAGGGCATAACGCTTAATGATATTGAACATAAACTAGGACAGTATGCTGACGATACTCAGTTATTTCTAGATGGATTTGAAAAAAGCCTCAATGCAGCAATTGAGACACTGAACAAATTTCACCAAATCTCAGGTCTCAAAATGAACATAGATAAAACCAAGGCTATTTGGATAGGTTCAATGTCTAAAAGTAATATAACTTTAACCAATGACCTAAATCTTGATTGGCACAGGGGGGACTTCGACATTTTAGGAATTACCTTAAATGCTTCATTAAATGACCTGTGGGTGATTAACACAAGGAAACTCTTAGAGAATATCAACAGATTACTTGCCAACTGGCGCAGAAGAAATTTGACTCTTATTGGAAAAATCACTGTTATTAAAACTTTGGCAATCTCAACCCTTGTACAAATTTTCTCTGCACTTCCCAACCCACCTAAAACATTCATTAAAGAACTCAATAAAATAATTTATAGATTTTTATGGAAAAATAAAAATGACAAAATAAAGAGATCAACTATAAACAGAGGTTATCAAGATGGAGGTCTCAGAATGATCGATATAGAATGTTTCATTAATGCTTTGAAATTATCCTCACTGAAAAACTATATAAACACAAATAAAGAATCGATAAACATCTTTCCTGTAATTAATTTATTCTCACTTGGCTCCAATGCTGTTGACTGTTTTCTGACCATGATAATCCTTATTGGAGAGACGTTCTATCTGCTTGGAGGATATTCTATAGGAAAATTAATTTTGAGGAAACTGATGTAGACGAAATCTGGACTCAACCACTTTGGTTGAACCATTTCTTTAAATCATCATATATTATTAAACACTGGTTTAGTCGCGGTATACATAGTATAAAAGATATATGTGATGAAAATGGCTTTCTGAGTTTGGAAAATTTAAAACAGAGATATGAAATACAGGGAACTTTCTTAGACTATCAACATTTGTTAAACAACATTCCAAATAACTGGAGACATCAGATAAGAAACACAACATTTACATTCGATCAACCACATATTAATAATATATGCAAATATATTATCTGTAATGCTAAAGGCTCAAGGATATTCTATGACGAACTAATTAAGTATGATTCTACACCCAAGTCCCTATAATATTGGAACACTGTCTTTCAACATCAGATTGACTGGAAAGATGTATTTAGCTATTATAGGAAATGTACAAATGACTGTAAGCTCTTAGACTTTCAATACAGAGTTATAAACAGAATAATTTATACAAAATAAGAATTATTGAAAATGAAGTTAGTTAATGATGATACATGTACATTTTGTAAAACTGACTCAGAAGATATATCACATGTCTTCCTTGAATTTCAATTTGTTCGGAACTTCTGGGTAAATGTTGAAGAATTCCTTAATGATAACCCCCAAACCAATGACACTATCTAAATTCATCATTATGTTGGGACTGCCCTCAAATAACCAAGTAGTAAATCACATTTTACTACTTGCAAAAAGATTAATCTATACTTCAAGCCTGAAACAGCAAGATATATCCTTTGCAGAATTTCTCAAGTTACTTAAAGACATATGCTATATCGAAAGGTTTATTGCAAAGAATAATAATAAATTTAGTTGTTTAACTAGGAAATGGCAACACTTAGATATGGTACTCTGACATATTAATTTAGCACAGATGCAGTTTGACTTCCTCAAACTATTGTGTTAACTACAGTAATAATATTTTCAAACTAACTTCTGTTTATCTATATATGTACACCCTCATATGTGTATACAATTTTGTAATAACTTGATGTAAATGCCCACACATATCACTCTTCTATCTGTTCATGCAACTTGAAATGGAATAAAAAAAGATAAAAACAAAACAAAACAACTTCACTACAAACAAGGATATTGAGCGCCTGTGTGAAGAGATATCTCTGTGGGGGCATCCGGCAAACGTGGGGGGAGGGGGGAAGGTCAGTTGCTGAGAGGTGTAGTGTTACCGTCATGGTCAGAGTCACAGTAGTGGGGCTGGTACAGAGGTTTTTTGACTCAGTGGCTTATAACAGTCCATTAGCTTGACATGGTAGGACGTGCTGCAAAGTTGAGAGCCCACAAACTTTTTGATGTTGCACCAAGCGCCGTCAAGAGAAACAATACGACTATACGACTTAGTACCATCAGAATGCAGGTAAACCAGATCACCGACAGTGATGTTAGGTGCATAGGCATCGTTCTCATCAGCGGGTTTTTGGATTTTTCACTATGGGGATTGTCTGTTTTCATGCTGTTTGGTGATGAATTCCATATCAGAGATGGGAAGTTGAGACTGAGTGAAGCCGTGCTACGGCTGTGGCCAGAGATAGGAGAGTAGTGGCTCCACCAACAGGGCTTGAGACAACAGTTCTTTTTCTACCTCCTGGATCGCTCTCTCCGCCGCTGGATTTTTGTTACGATTCTTGGTTCTGCCTACCTCCAAACAAAGATTGTGTTTTTTGAGTAGAGGGTCGTTCGTTAGGGACACAAAACCAGGGGCAGGATCCACTCTCACTACATTATAGGGGGCCAGTAAGAGGCTTCAATTGAA